TATTATTTGTCAACACAAATTAGGATAAAAAGCGAATTGCAATACGTCACTTTTACAGAGTTCGATTACGAGGGGTTCGAGCCTACTGATAGTAGCAAATAGCAATATCCAGTAAATCACTCCTGTGCATTTGAATTTCAGCAGCAGTATTATGTTTCGTCGCACTTTCTCACTTTGTTTGACAAAGGAATGTTCCAAACGAACCATAAGAGAATAGATACCATCATCTAACGAAAACAAGGTCAAAAGAAATCGATCTCTAAATAATTACCCGAAGGCTTCACGTCAAGGCCAGGTGAATTCCCTGCCGTGGGTGCGCGTGCAACCTCGACCGTGAACGGTTTTGGCACGTCTGGAGGACTGGCACAACGAATGAGAGCCCAGTTCACGCTCTGAAAGAATGGATGCTGTTTGATCTCGGTGGCCCCACGCCTATATGCAAGTCGATTCTGTGGCTCTTTCACCAGTAAACCTCTGATCAAGTCCCGTGCAGCAAAGCTAACTGTAGGTGACTCGGGAAATCTCAGGGGCTGTCCGACTACATTAAACAAAGTAGCCCGGTTTTCGGATCCCTTAAAAGGTGTTCTCCCGAACAGCAGCTCGTAGAGAAAGATCCCCAAAGTCCACCAATCTACTGCACTCCCGTGGCCTTCTCCCTTGATAATTTCCGGTGCCAAGTATTCATGTGTACCCACAAAGGACATCGATCGAGCACTAGTAGGCTCGGCAATGAGCTCCGGAAGAGGGCTCACTTGATTATATATTTCCGTCTTTGGTTTGGATTTCTTTTCTTTCTTGGATTTGCTTAGGAAACGAGGTCCAAAACATGTAGGTTGGATACAAGTCGGTTGGATGACACAAGATGGTTGAACACAGAATCCCGAGCTTTTTGATTCCAGGTTGGAGTTCGAGGATTTGACCAGCGTTGGGCTCACGGCACACCTCAAGGAAAGGTCAAAATCTGAAAGCATTATATGCCCGTCTTCCCTCACCAAAACATTTTCGGGTTTAAGATCTCGGTAAATGATCCCGAGCATATGTAAATACTCTAAAGCAAGAAGAACCTCTGCTACATAAAACCTGATGAAAAGCAATTCGAAAATATAGTATGAACACAAATTGGCTCGATTTAAATAAATTAAACGTCAGTGAGAAATGACTTACGAATATTGAACATGAAAACAGTGAAAACTCTACAAATCACCTCATGGTCAAATCGCCATTCAAATCAAATTATTCAAATTCATTTAATCTAACTTCGCAGCACCAATGTGTTGATCAAAATGAAACTTTCTATTGCACCAAATATCAAGTTCGTAGAGACAATATCTGTCAACAAATCTTATCTGTCATCATAATTAGAGGAAAATCAGGCAAGGAACTTTAGTGACTGATGCAAATGGCATTCTGCTATAAATTAATACACAGGCAACGTAAAGACGATTTATGAATCCATATATCTGTATAAGATGCAAGAACTTGTCAGCAGGGATGCCAATTTATATACTGCTATTTTATTGTGTCTAAGATCCTCATTAGGAAACACCATTCCTCTAATGCTTAGTACTTCCTTAAGCCACATGGTGTAGACCTAGTAAAAGAAATGTAGTCCTAAACACACCTTGAATTTAGATCATCATGATTGAATTAAAGAAATTCATATTCTCTGCCTTGGGTCCAGTGGAAGAAAATCACCTATTAACGGACAAGAATAATAATTACTACCTGGCAGCATGCTCAGGGAAATACTTCCCGGGTTGCCTCTGTCGAAGAGCATGCAAATCTCCCCCAGGACAGAACTCCATCACTAGAAATGACAACTTTTCTGTCTCGAAGTGAGAATACAAAGTGGGAAGAAAAGGATGATCGAGAGATTGCAGAATTTCTCTCTCCGTCTGAGCTCTGAGAAGTTTCTTCCGACTCGCTAAAGCTTCTTTATTCATCACTTTCATGGCAAAATAACTTCTAGTGCCGATCAACTCAGCTAGATGAACACTGCCTATATCTCCACATCCTAATTTCTTGAAAATTCTGAAATGCTTCAATCCCAATGCACCATTATTATGAGATCTGACTGCTTGAATTGCTTCCCACCTCTTATCATTTCCTTTGTGCGGTTTGTATGTAGCACTATTCAAACTGGTCGAGCTGCTGTCATCGCTGACGTCACTACCTGTGCTGTCTCGATAGATGCTAGTCTTCCGACTCTCAACATCAAAAGAGTTGCCAACTTCCCCAC